GTTTTTGTTTCAGCAATGCGTTTATTACTCATGATTCGAGTAGTAGCTGTTAGAACCCTAAGACAAGCGTCATTATTTGATCTAAACAGTACGTATTTTTTCCAATTGGGCTTGTAGTGTGTTTGAACTTTGTGTGGTTGGGCCATGCAATATCTCTTGTTTTGGGCTTTGTTCTTTTTGGGCTAGGAGATAAAACCGTATGAAAATAAGATCCTCTTTATTTTTTCAATCCAACTTCAATAGTCAACTTTTTATTTAATAAAACAAATCAAATTTTTTATTAAGTTTATGATACGGTACAAAGACATTTATTTAATAGTAATATTAATAATAATTATAACAATGATTATAATATATACGAAAATAATAATAGTAATAACAATAATTTTAATACTGTAATATTTAAAACAAAACAAACCTCAAAGCAAATCAAAAACGGAACGGGCCCCATATTAGGCCTTTAAAATAAATTGACACGGGTCTTACTAAAAAATAAATTATTTTATACACCCCTCAATCTAAATGGGCCGTTTTGATTTAGAAATGGCCCAAGGTTTGATTTAATAGCATGAACCTCTTTTTTTAACTTGAAGTGGACTTTTAAAAACTTAATGGGCCATCAGATATTAATGGTCCATTTTTTATCAATACATCCTTCTTTGACTTTAAACCCCCCTATGAGTATTTAACAAATAATGATTTATTTAAATAGAAACCTAAATATAATATAAGGGTATGATAAATTTGGGGTATGACAGTATCCCCTCCTCATCACAAAACCTCCCAAAGTCATTTAAGACGTATTCGCCTCCACCATTAGTTTTTGGCACTTTGAGCTTGTGACCGCTTTGCCTCTCAACCATGGAGTTGAACTTCTTAAACACTTCGAATACCTCATCCTTTCTCTTGATTAGGTATGTTCATAGATTTCTACTATAATCGTTGATAAATGTGACAAAGTATCTATTTCCACCAATAGAGTCAACTTGCATCGATCGACACACATCTGAATACACCACCTCAAGATGATTCTTGGTTCTACAACTTGTATCCTTGTTAACCTTACCATTGTATTTCTTAAATTGCACACACTCCTCATAAATTCCACCTGGTAGGTTGATGGATGGCAACCTCATTATCATATCGATCTTTTGCAATGCGTTGAGATTTCTAAAATTGAGATGCCCAAGATGGTGGTGGCATATCCACTCTTCTCGACTAGCATCTGTAGAAAAACAACTATGCTCCATAATCTTCAACTCAACCTTGAAAGTTTTATTGGCATCCATATAAGCTTTTAGGATAAAAACTCGGTTTGCAACCATAACACGTAGCGCTTTGTCTTCTATATGTGAATCTTGTACCCCTTCTCAACTAATTGACCAATACTTAGAAGGTTACACTTGATTCCTGGAATGTACAACACATATTTTATCAAGTAATGTCCATCATTCCTCTTCATGATCAAAACATCACCGACTCCATCGACCGCTAAAGTTATATCATCCGTGAACTTCACTTTGTTCTTCATGGCACAATTGGTTTTAACAAACCAACCTTTCCTCCATATCATGTGAGTAGAACATCCAAAGTCCAAATATCATTCATTTCTGCATTAAACCCCTTATCTCACAATCACCATCACATTCTCTTCTGCATGTAATCGGTTAAATGTTTCATGTAACCAGTTACAACCTATTTTGGCAGCATTCTCAAAATCATTGTTGTTGTCTCGCATCTCATTGTTGCTGTATTTTTCTTCCGTGATCATGACCAAGAGTGTGTTTTCTTTATCAAACTCTTGTCTTGAAACTTTTGCTTCATCTTCTTGAAATTCCTTCTTGTTCACATTGCAATCTCTTACAAAATGACTAAATCATTGACAATTAAAGCATTACATCTTACTTTTGTCAATCTTCCCTTTTTCATCTCTATAGTTTTCTTGACCACCATTTGTGTTGCAATTGCTCTCGCCTTTTTGACAAGTCAAATTCTTCGCATTTTGATACTTTCTTCCATCAAAGTTCTAAAAATTCCCTTTGCTCTTCACTGACCATTTTCCTTTCAACTTCTTGTTCTTGTCATTGAACCAAGTTTACAAAGAGATCTCCATATTTTCCTTATCATAACTCCTCTCCTTCATCATTTTATCATGAGCCTCAAAAGAGATTTGAAGCTCTTCTTTTCTCATCATCGTAAGGTTCTTCGATTCCTCAATCGCAACGACTATGCTATCTAATCTTGTTGTCAAAGAACACAAGATTTTCGCAATAATGTATTACTCCGTAACAGTTTCTCCATGCGCCTTTACTTGGTTTATTAACCGAGTAATTATTTTTATGTAATCGTTGATTATCTCCTTTTCCTCCATTTGAATCAATTCAAGTTGATACTTGTGAATTTGTAACTTCACCACCTTTGATTTGCTAGCCCCTGCATATGCCTTTCTAAGATTTCTCACGGTTGCTTTGACAATTCACAATCACTAACTTTCTCAAAATTGTCACCATCCACATATTGATGGATAAAAAATAGAGTCTTATAGTCATTCTTCTTTTCCTACTTATGTGATGCTCATTGTGCATGTGTTGCATCTTCGACAAAAGAATTTATCTCATTCTTGATCACTTCAAGAACATCTTGATAGCCAAACAACATATTCATTTGCTTGGACCATTTAACGTAATTCTTCGCATTAATGATTGGTAGATTTGTAGGGACTCTATTATTGAAGACAAAATTCATGTTACACACTAGATATTTGTGGATCAGAACCAGACTCTTGATGTCAAATGTTAAAACATGCAATCACAAAATTGATAAATAATGGAGGATTTTGGTGTGTGGACAAGGAGAGAGTGAAAGAGAAGAGAGTTCGAGGGAGAGATAATTGAAGGTGAGAAATTTTCACTATGAATTCAATGTACATTATAAACATACCACTAAGCTATTTATAAAAGCATTGGGATACAAACAACATCATTAAAATAACAGAAAATTGAAAAACTCAAACATGTAATAAATAACACTAAACCTGTAACTAATTACAACTCATATAAAAATAATTCTAACTCAATGATAACTGGTTATATAATTGATTACGCCTACGATGATTTTTATTTTCTGCTGTTTAGAAGTGATTTTATCCAAGATGTAATCGATTACACCCCGTGTTAATCGGTTACATCACTTAAATTAGTGTTTTCCATGCAACCATTTTGTTCTCATTCATTTGATGAATTTGAATCACTGCTTTATTTTGTGAGACCTTCTTTGTTTTCTTGTATCTCATTTTGAACTTGTTCATTTTGCATTTTGCATGCCTTTTTTTGGTTTCTTGATGACTTTTAACTCATTGAGTCACTCATGTAAATTATCAAAAACATAAGTATCTCCAAATTTTAAAGCTAAGTTAAATTTCCAACACCAACTTTAAATTTAATATACTTGTTAGATACACAATTTTTTTAAAGGTTTCCAAGAGTCTTAATATTATTAGAACGCTATAATTTTAAAGACTTTATTCATAACCCTTTAGTATTTTTGACTTTTGTTCTAATGTGTTCATCTTTTTCCTTTTCATCTCAATAGAATCTTCATAAATCATTTCAAAGGTGTCCAACATTTTCTTAGAGTGTTATATTAAAAATATATGTACTTTCTAATGCTTAAGACACTAATCATCAAATATTTGGCTTTTAAACTGTGTTGTACTTTTATTTTTTCCTCTATACTCATATATGATAGATTCTCAGACATCAAGATCAATTGCTTCTAAAAAATTTCATTCTTATTTTTTAGATAATATACCATTCACCATCAAAAAATAGATGTTTGTTGAAAAGAAGACTTCTATTAAGAGTGTTTGAAATCATCATTTATTAATATCATTTATTGACAAAGTAACTTCAAACACAAGAGAATGGATGAATTATGTTATTTAATTTTTGAAATTTTTACGTAAAATAATTGATTTTAAGTTTAAGATTTTAAGGAAAAAGAAGAAGAAAAGACTAAGTAACGAAAAAAAAAATACAAAAAATAAAAAAAAAATGGACAAAACATTTGCACTAAGATTTATATTGGTTCAACCTTAAACCACGTTACCTAATCTAAATCCCAAGAATTTTCTCTTGATTTCCACTAACAATAACTTCAGCTTTTACACCATAATCAACTCAAAAACTTTCCTTATACCAAACTTATTATATAATTTATTTTTCCTTAAAGTCAATCAGTGATAAACAAGAGAACTATGCTCTTAAATCACAATTTTAACACAACATAATTACATAACTCTCCATATATACCTTTCACTTTTTCAGCACTAAAACAACTATAGTGAATAAAACATGTTTCTGAAAAGAAATGAGTGGAAAAATAGAATAGTAAGTCATAAAATGATTTGGAAGTAAGCACAATACTCTTTTATATATAAAAAATGACTCGAAAAGATACACACTCGATTAGACTGCAACACTGTCAATTAGTCAACGAATTTTATTTTTCTAAGGTAAGTGTCATAATGATTTTTAAAAAAATTTAAAATTGATGAAGATTTTTGGAAAAAAAATTTAATGTGGGTGTGCATTTTCTTAGTTCCATAAGAATTACTCTTGCTTATTTTAGACACTACTAGTCATAAAGAAATAAAAGACTACTGTTTATTTCCTTCAATGTTTTTCCTACGTTTCAAGATTCTCCATGAGTTTGATAACACAATGATGTACCTCTTCGGATTCAGGAAGAAACAAAGGGATAGGGATCTCTTAGCTCCTTCATGTATTTTTTTCAACGATAAGACATGTAAGATCAAGAACCTCAACCGAGTCATGGCAGGCCTTAAGCCAAGTAGTGGAAACTCAGAAGCAGTTATAATATAAATGATTCCCTAACGACTTAAACAAATTAGTGACGTAGTTCAATTCACTTTAATCACTATCACACTACCATCTTGTTGAATCGAATCACTATCACATTTCTAAAAGCTATAACATGAATCACTCTTTACGCTTATCTTTTGTTTTCACATACTCAGGTATACATGATGACCAAAATATTGGCAACAAAGTGCATGCAGCTTGCACCAAAAGTCCAAATGGAAATCCTGAAAAATCACTTCCAGTTATCTTAACATATGATGCAAGTGCGACACCAAGGTATCCACTCACAATGAATGCCAATGCTACAGCAGACATAAGAAATGCCATTATTGATCCTTCACACCCTTGTGGACATAGCTGCGCTATTAACACGGTGAATGGTAGAAACTTGAAGAAGAATAGAACCTCCAAGAATCCGGAAAAAATTACTACGTAGAGTGTGTCTGGTACTCCCATTTGGCGATAGAAACCGCGCACGAATAAGAAATCCGATATCATTAAGAGCGCCATTGTTGCTTGGATTGCTGATATCAGTTTCCTTGGTGAGACGGATTTCAGGTATCGGTTGTATATAACGCCCCATAATAGCATTGTTGCCTGACCAAAAACCTTGGAGATACCTAATACCGATGAGTTGATTTTTATGTATTGTGTCTGGTAGAAGAACATGGTTCCGTTTAGTAAGGGAATAACGGCGTAAGATAATGCAAACCATGAGATGGAATAAGCAATTTCGGGTTTCCTTAGTGCGGCGGATAATTCCGAAAGCTGTTTCTTTATCCCAAAAGATGGATTCTTTGGGAGTCCGAGAGAGCTCTCGCGGACCGAAATGGTTACGAAGAATTGCAGAGCAACGAGGAAGCTGAAAAACATAAACATGGATTGTGGGGAGAGTCTGCCGATGAAAATTCCACCAAGAAGGTTGCCGAGGACTCCTCCTATAGAGGAAGCTATCCAAACAAAGGATTGGAGGTTGCCTGAGGAAGATGGTTGTTGAGAGTGTTTGGTTGTTGAAGAAGGAGGTTGTTTGCCCATCTCGGCAACCATTGCGTCATTTGCTACCTCGGTTATTGCAGCACCTAGATTACCCAGGAGGAGGTATATAGAGATAGTGAAAACAGATATGCTTGATGGGGAGATTGCTATTGCTAGCCATGACAGTGCCTGCAAGAAAGCTGCACAAACAAATTTTGAAGAAATATTTAAGAATTCAGATTCAAACTAGTATATGCATATCCTGTATGTGTTCAAGCAACAACGACATCCGTTCATATTCATATTCAAGCATCATAAGTTTCCTTCTGAATAAGGATTTGGATCTTTCTTTCTTCTGTTTATTTTTTAGGATTCTCTACTGAAAAGAATCCAAAAGATCCCTTTCTGCCTTTGGATTGATGCAGAGAAAATGGATAGTGCGTTACAGTGTTACAGTTACCACTACGGGGTGAGAGAGTTAGCTCAACTGCTTGAAACAGTTGAACTAATGGTTAAAAGACGTTGGAGGTTCAGGTACTAACAATTTGTCATTAAAAAAAATCACCAGTTACCACCACAAACACACAAAATTGGGTATACTACCGTATTACGTTACATGGAAAATAAAAAGAACCCTAAAAACTATATCAACCTCGTTATTTTTCAATTATGGAATCTCACTCCTACTTAGTTTTCACTTCTTTTTCTTTATGCTTTTCCAAAGCATTCCAAAAAGGACCACAATTATGAAGTCTAAGCCAAACTCTTTGTTCCTACACACACCAAACTAAATTCTTAAAAGTAAAAAAGTTTTCTTCACAGTGGGCATAGAAATCCTTATCAAACCGAGATTCATATCATGAATGAATCAGAAGAATAATTTCCAAAATTGTGGATCAAATCTGATTGTGTAATTTGATCCATGTAGCCGATCCCACTTACTCAAATAAGGCTCGATTGTTATACACACAAAAAGGATCATTCATTCATTCCTTTGATTTTTCAAAGAACAATATGATAAAACAACAAATTCTCAATTCCCTTTATCAAAGAAGCAACAAAACAGTATTTCCCCATAAATTTTCACAAAATCGATGAAGGCAACATATATAAACCAATTCAAAACCTTACTTGTTTGTAGCCCAATTCATGAAAATTTATATAGATTATAGAGTAGATGTTATGTTACCTCCAAAAGCTATATAAGGAAGACGATGCTGACCAGATATGTAAACAGAATCAGAAACAAGACCATAAATTGGTTTTCCAACCATAGGAATACTTGCTGAACTTTGAAGAATTTGAAGAGTTGTAGGATTCACATTGAGACCATCTTTGAGAAAGAAACTCACTACTAACCATGGAAAACATCTGAATCCTTGTACCCAATAACCCAAACCCAACACTTTTCTCATCAATTTGTCACCACCACCGTCACCCTCTGAAGACACCATTTTCACTTTTGTAACGGTTAAGATAGGAATGCCGAATAAAGAAATAATTGTAATAGAGGTTTCGGGTTTTTTAAGGAAATAAAAAGTAGGGGTTGTTTTTTTTTTTTTTTTCCTTCTACGTGGCACACTCCGAAGGTGACACGTGTTCTTCTTCGGGTACAACTTTTTTGAGTTATAAAAATATCTCATATTCTTGTGGAAAGATCTGATCTGCATCGAATTATTACTTTATAAGTTTAATAGAGTTTAATTACTTTAATTGAATCTGATTAAACGTTAATAAAGCTCTTTTAATTAAAGTTTTGTTGTTATTCTATTTCTATTTTTTTGTTATATTAGGTTTATTTTAAGATAAATGTCATAAAACAGAATTTTTTTTATTAATAACCATGTATTAAAAAAAAATTCGCAAATAACCGCGTTTCAGAAAAAATTACGCAAATAACCGTGTTTCAGATGACTCCCCAAAAGAAGAGCCATCTGAATTGACACACCTATTTTTTTAAGGGGAGACGCCGTCTCACTTGGCGCCTATGTGCTTAGGGCATGCCCTAAGTCAAGTGAGATGGCGCCTAGGTGTTATTTTAGGGCAAAATATGGTTTTTTTTTGTCCGGTGCATTGCGTGTTGGATACAGGATCAACAAAATGGACTTTTTATTATAAAAAAAATTACATCCAACTGTATTACATTAAAATAACAGATTAAAAAAAACAGATAAAAAAATACAGGAAAAAAAAACAGATAAATCAGTGATCCCCGGAACCCGGTAATGTCCCCCGGTTCCGCATCCCCGTCCTCGTCTTTCTCGTGCTGGGTGTCGTCGCGTTTCCTGCTGCGGCAAGGTCGATGGCCCAGCGAAGTCAATGCGGTCCGGATCCATAAAATCAGTCAGATCTCCATATCTAGAAGATCTGCTTTGGTACAGTCGGTTACCCATACCCTCAAAGTTTGGTTGTGTTGGCGGTGGGTGGGGTTCCATAGTGGGTCTGTAGCATTGGTCGTCTGAGTATGATGGATAGAAAGAAAATGGATCTTGGGGTGTTTGGTATTGAGGATGTTGGGTGGTTTGGTGATATTGTGGTTGATGGTAGGCTGGGTTGGTTTGTTCGTAATCTTCCGACATTCCCATATCAGGGCTAAGGCTGGATGTTGAGGGGCCCATATTGGAATATACGGAAGACTGAAATTGTGTGTGGGGTATGCGGGTGTGCTGGTATTGGGATTGGTATTGTGGTTGGGTGTGAGGCATATCGGGGTATTGGTAGTGTGGTGGTGATTGTGGTTGGTTGTGTGGCATTTGAGTGTAATTGTGTTGTGGTGGGGACTGTGGTTGGGTGTTTGTGGGTCTGTTTCTTCTTGGGGGTTGGTGGGAGGTTGATGGGTTTTTGGTTTGTTGTTGGGGAAACGAGGGTTGTGCCCATTGTGTGTGGGGGTCTACCAAGTACCTTGGATGAGACACGTGCATTTCAGGGTTACTAACTGACCTGTACCAAGACAAATATTGATCCGTGTGTCGCATATTACCTTGATTAAGGAAAACCAGGAATTGCAAGACATAGCGGTGACGCCTCTGCCACATCTTACACCATTCCAGAGCGAAGTCTTTCCAGTTGGTAAGACCCCACTGGGCGTCGACCCTTTTAAGATGCCATGGGGACAAACAAGTTGGATCACTTGGTATCTCTTGATGCATTTCAAACTGCATCTTTACACGGTCGCTGTGGTGCATCTCCATAATGTTGAACTGAATGATTGCAGTCTTCGCGGTCCAAGTTACTGCATCCTCCGGGTTTGGATCATGGCCCAAACCCAAATATGGTCTTCAGACGAACTACGATAAAATTTAAATCAGGTTAACGCAAAAGTAATGTATAAATAATTTAAATGAAGAAAAGTTAAAAGCTACGACGTACGTCATCCGGGCCTAAGTGATCTAACAGATTACGGTATAGTGCGACATTGAATCTTGGATTCTTGCCGTAATCCATACCCCTCACGCAGTACCTAAAGGAAATGAAAAACATTTTATTCTTAGCATATATTTGGGGAAGAGATGAATAGTAATAAATGCTATAACTTGATGACTTATTTTGTTGCGTACGGGAAATCGAAAGTGTTGTTGTTGACGGGGTTTAAGGACTCCATCCTCCACCAACCCCAAGCTTGTAGTAAAAAAGCGCATCCATAAAATGTACATTTTTCCTTGACTGCATTTTTGCACAAGGAACTGTATAGGTGGGCTAAAACTGCAGAACCCCAACTATATTTTCTTATTTTTTCAAAATTTCTTAGTAAATGTAAATACATAAAATTTACACTATTTCCCGTACTTTCGGGAAATAAAAAGGTACCAAATAGTATCATAAGATAAGTTCTGGCTTTTACTATCCTGTCATTCTCGGAGGAATTTTCGTTTAATTCCAAACTTGCATAATGACTTTTCAGCTCAGTGAGTAGTATTTCCTGACCTCTCGCACCACCACCTTCTACCATATCCCTGCCCAACAGTTCTTCACACTGAGAGTTAGGTTGTTGAACCGACCCGTTCACGGCCTTACCATCGACAGGGAGACCTAGTAGCATGTACACATCCTCTAGCATGATGGTACATTCACCTATTGGTAGATGAGATGTATGGGTCTCTGGTCTCCACCTTTCCAACATTGCAAGAATGAACTTCGAGTCAATGGTGCAGTTGGAGATCTTTATGACATGTCCAAAACCTGCGTATTCCAGATATGGTACGATAAATGGGTCGGGAGTCAGGTAGTTGTGAGAACGGATTCTGAATCTTTTTGTGTCCTGAGTTCATAATATAACATGTGTAAGATTAAGTAAGACGAACAACGCATTATCTGAAGTATGAAAAATGTATAACCAAAATAGAAACTTACAAATGCGGCAATATTTTTCCTTGTACCTCTGTGAGTATCGCCCATTGTTAGAAGAGCCATTGTTTAAAATGCTTGAGATTATGAAAGACTTAGGAAGAGATAGAGAGTATGAAAGACTTAGAAAGTGTAAGAGATTATGAAAGATTTCGTAGCAGAGAGTGAGACTTGTGTGGGTGTGATAGATGTATGATATGGTATGTATTTATAGGCAAATAAATTTCATATAGTGGTTGCTGGTGCTTGCATGCATGCGAAGTGTCACTCTTGCAGGCTAGGTGGCAGCCTAGGGGGTTACATATATGCATGCATGCATGTACAAAAAATGAAAGGTGTCACTCTTGCAGGCTAGGTGGCAGTCTAGGGGTTACATATATGCATGCATGTATCACGATTGGACAGTAAGGGAGGCGCCATTGGACTTGGAGAAAGAGTACAAAAATGAATGGTGTCGCCACCCCAATTGGCGAATAAGAGGTGTCCTTTATTGCAGGCTAGGCTCAGGCTACGTGACAACCTTTGGGATTCCTTGCCTGAATGCATGTAAGCCCATTGGAGGTGATGGGAGGAGACTTACAACATACAGTATAGGTGCAGAGTAGGCGCAGGCTAGGTGGCAGCCTAGGGGGTTACATATCTGCATGCATGTATCACGATTGGACAGTAAGGGAGGCGCCATTGGACTTGGTGAAAGAGTACAAAAATGAATGGTGTCGCCACCCCAATTGGCGAATAAGAGGTGTCCTTTGTTGCAGGCTAGGCTCAGGCTACGTGACAGCCTTTGGGATTCCTTGCCTAAATACATGTAAGCCCATTGGAGGTGATGGGAGGAGACTTACAACATACAGTATAGGTGCAGAGTAGGCGCGGGCTAGGTGGCAGCCTAGGGGGTTACATATCTGCATGCATGTATCACGATTGGACAGTAAGGGAGGCGCCATTGGACTTGGCGAAAGAGTACAAAAATGAATGGTGTTGCCACCCCAATTGGCGAATAAGAGGTGTCCTTTGTTGCAGGCTAGGCTCAGGCTACGTGACAGCCTTTGGGATGCCTTGCATGTAACACTATTGGCAGCCTTGGGGGTTGCATCCTTACTTAATTGAAATTTTTAGTCTTACGTTTATCATAACATTCATTCACTTAATCTGTCAAACCTTCCAACCTTCAAACGTTCTTACAATCAAACCTTCAAACCTTCAAACAATCAAACATATAAACTTTCGAATCACTCATAAAGTTCAAACATTCCAACCTTCAAACCTTACAGGATTCAAACCTTCATACAATCAATAAACCTCAAACATTCCAACCTTTGAATCACTGATAAAATTCAAACATTCCAACCTTCAAACCTTAAAACAATTCTACGCAATGGCCTCTGCACCACAATTTGTCGTCAAAGCACATTTCAACGGTGAGACATACATTTGTCCCACCGCTGGGTTTTTGTTTAGAGACACAGACAACATCCGATTTCTCTTAAACGGGAAAGCCAGTTTCTCGTACTTCAAAAAAAGATTGGAGGCCAAACTTGAACGAGGCCCGGTGTCCCAGATATTTTATCAGAATCCAGTTTTCTTTGGAAACAACCAAGTAATTTTTTATAAGGTTGAAGTTCAAGATGACGAGGATCTCCATAATATGTTTTCCAGCCATGTCTATTCTGGGTACGACTCTATTGAGTTGTACGTTATGCTGCGAGAGCCTCAGGTGACACAAGAGGTTGATCCTTTGGAGAATGAACAAGTTGAGGTAGATGCAGTTGATGATGAAGAAGAAGATAACGAGTTAGAGTTTGATGAAATGGTGAATGATGATTCCGACGATGATGGCATCCCTAGTATTCCTGCAAAAAAAATCTACACACCACCTCCGCACATGACAAACTTCAGCATGGGCGGAGATGAACCTTCTGCTGACTTATTTTTCAATCCGTATATGCAGTCGGATGAAAATTTAAAAGAGAAGGACAAGTTTCGTAACAGAGAGGAATGCATCAGGGCCATTAAAAAATTCCACATGCTCAACTCGGTTGATTTTAAGATGGATCGTGTCAACCCGGAAAGGTACAAGATCAAGTGTGTCCACCCTGACTGTATGTTCAAG